AAGAAATTATTCTAACTAGTTGATTTGCTGAAGATGGTGCTGCTTGTAATAAATGTATGCAACAGTAACGCAGTGGACACCTGTTAACGTTACTAAAATAGGTGAGAACTTCAATCCAATTTAAGTATCAGTCAAGACCTGAATGCACCTCAGATTATTACAATTAAGAACACAGGTAGAAGATACGAGTCAGAGTCAACAGTCTAAATCTACCCAATGTGTCTCAAACTGAAGGGGCAATTTTTAGAAAAAATTTCAGACTTGACAAATTTGTTAATGGCGCTTTATCAAGTCCAAGGACTCCAAAAAGCTTTACACTAAATTCAGGCATCAACACACTGATGGTTGTGGGATACACTATACCATGAACTCCCTTTTATTGGTCCAAGATGTCATTATAATACAAACTCACAAGTGAAACATAAACATACAATCATCCTAACAGCCTGAAATCCCCCACAAAAAAAATTAAAACCCTCAAAAACTGAGAGTAAGCAATTAATCTCTTACAAAAAATAAAATATCTCCACTTCCCCATATACAAATGAACTCTTTTAAGTCTGACACCATCTTATAATAGGCAAACTCTGTCCTAACACATGCAGCTACCAGCCCTCTGAACATCAGGTCAACATCTACAGAACCTTTCTCCTTCATTTTATTTCTCCTGCTGAGCCAAATGCTCATCTTTGTCTGACCAAACAAAAAATTAACCAGACAAATATTACTCCGTTGTGCTACTGAGTATCTGGTGAGTATTGGGATACACTATAGCCATCAGTGCCTTTTGGCCACCATGTCTAGCAATGTCTTGAAGAGAAATGGGGCTAAACACTGAAAAACAGGCCAAGCTCCAACATCTATAAGCAAAGGTGTTGATGGCAGCAGCACAGCTGATATTTCTCTCCAGGATGGAGTCACAGCCAAACAGGAACAGACCAGATGAAGCTACTATGAGATTGAACTAACAGATACTGAAGAACGGGAGAGTAGATAGAATGAAGCACAATGATGGAAAATGGTCCCTATGTCCTCCAGCAGTCTAAACCTATAGCAGCATAACTATAGAGATAGCTCAGGATAACCTGAGCCACTCTAACTATAAGCTTTATCAAAAAGGAAAGTTTTACGCCGACCCTTAAAAGTAGGTAGGGTGTCTGCCTCACGGACTAAAACTGGTAGTTGGTTAGTGCAGTGTTCGCTTGAGGTCCATCTTGTCTCTGTGGGAGTGAACAGTTGTAGCTCCAGTTTAATTAATTAAGTCTATCAGCCTGCTCCAGGTCCATTTAGCTAATGTACGACAATTTGTCCTCACACTGCAGAATGTTAAGTGTTTCTTTGAAAGGTTTGATAGGGGAGGATTATACACTATACATACTTCAGCCATGAATGTGGGTCATATCATCAGTTACACATTTAGAGTTAGTCAGAGATGTGAGTCTGTAAAAGCTGCGTTTGCTCTACATTTCATCCCAGAGTGAGTCTTAGTAAAGTAAAAGTTTAATTTGTTGCTGAGGTGGTTGGGAACAAATAGTTTATTCTAATCATGAACTAATTCAATCAAATTGAACACGTGTATGAAAAGCTGGTTTCATTTGGAAAACAAATTTCATAATTTTAGTTAAGTTTTACTTACTTTACTGATTTTAAAAAACCTGCAGAAAACATTATTTATCTTATCAGATGAATGTATTGTTGCTTCCTCTGCATTCACAGGTGCGAGATAAGGTATTCTTTTCATTTTAAAAGGCGTCTGGTTAAGGTATAGAAAGGTATACATTTTCTGAATGTACATACAAGTGCTGATGCTTCTGGACAGTTACCACACAAAATGGAAATGATTGAAACTGTGACAATACACAATACACATCATCTAAATGCACCAGATCGTCCAGTCAATTTGATTCAAAGTTTTCTATTAAAGGAAAACCAGTCATTGCATTAACTTATTGACTCAAAGGCAATCCCTCACACTAAGCATGCTTGTGGCGAGGGTGGAGAGGAAAAACTCCCTTTTAACACGAAGAAACCTCCAGCAGGATCAGGCTCGACATTGCACTTGGAAAAGCTGACATTTCACTTCCAATCCAGGAAGCTTTTTCTATTCAAAATTTCAGGAATAGTCTTGAGTTCGAGGTTTTATACAGTAGCCCAACAAAGCCCTGCGAACATCGGAGCCCTAGCCTCTGCACATGAGAGCCTATTCAGCCAGGCCAACATTCCCCGTAACAATCCCTGTTTCAAACACTTAGACAGGTATGGGGCATTGCAGGAAAACAAAGAAGCCAAACGACCCCCATTCCAAAGGGGTGGACCCGTCGTCCGTTTCAATTAGCATGTTTTCAAAACAAAAACAAGGATTTGTTGGCCTACTGTATAAAACCTTGAACTCAACGCTATTTCTGACATTTTGAATTGAAAAAGCTTCCTGGATGGGAAGTGAAACGTCGTCAAACTTGGAAACAAAGTCTAGTGGATTGTTTTTAATTTTCCTTTTTTGAAATCCCTTCTTAAATTTCTCTTTGCTCGCCTCTAATTTATCCAGAAGTTCTGAAATCACACTTTTTCCTCTCACTTCCAACTTGGTGGTTCAACCCACCTTCATCCCCTCCTACACCATCGTAGCTAAAGCTTCATCAGAGTGTAATTCCTCCCAGACTCTTATTACGTTGCCTGTACCATCTAAAGCGGTCCGTCAGAAGACCATGTTGAGCCTGGTTCTGCCAGAGGTTTCTTCCCCAAGGGGAGTTTTTCCTCTCCACTGTTGCTTTATGCTTGCTCATCATGGACAGGGTTATGCAACCTGTGTTATCTAATCTGAACTTCCATCTCCCAGGTCCCTGAGAGAAGCTCTAGTATCAGCTCACCCAGTCCAGTGGCGGACCTAGACTTTTTAAACAGGGGTAGCAAGGTATTATTTGGTGGGGATCAATATATAAAGGGTTAAGTTAGACTACAAACAATAATTATTTTCCAAAATGTATACAATTATGTACTGTACAATATATTATAAAGTATACAGCAAAAATAGGAGTAAACAAGTATTCAATGTGCTCCTTGGATTAATCAAATCCAGTAGTAAATAAAACCTTGAGGTAAATTTGGAAAAACAAGGCAGGACAATCAGCGGTGCACATTTAAATGTGTACCAGAAGAAGAAGCAGAATCGAACAACAGAACAAAACAAGCATACAGCCCTTTAAGACTGACTATAGTTGACCACTGCCCAGTGATATGACAACACCAAGTTCACAAAAACAATCAGAACAGCTAAATTCTGCCGTTCTGGTGAGGTGATGCAAAATGTTTAACCAAGTCCTCCATATTTAGGGAATATGCCCTCCTTGACTTAACACTATCATCCTTCATCCATTGTTGTCCTAAGGGTTTTTAAAATTAATGTAAGGGCAGAGAAACTTCTTTCACAGGGAGCAGTTCTAACTGGAATCACAAGCCAAATTTCACTAAGCCTGAAAAGTTAATGGAAAACCTCTTTGTAAGGTTCCAAAAACACAACAAACTCAAGTAGAGAAGCTGGTCTCTCTCCCACTTTTCTCCCTTTGTAACAGAAGTCGTCTCGTTTGATGAAGGTACTGCTTAAGGTCTTCCAAGTCTGACTCAGATGTTTTCCCCAAAGCAAGCAGAGGCTCCTCTTTTAGGAATGATGGCCCCCAATTCCTATGCAAGGCCCTGAAAGGCTCTGCATTATACATCCCAATATGAATTGTTCTACCTCATTTCTGTGTTTGTTACTGAACATTTAGCTAAGGACATGTCCTTTAAGCGTCTTCATGCCAGTGTGACAGTATTCATGAAACTATTAACTGAAGTAATACTCATAGGTAATACTTAGCACAAATACTGTGGTGCAACATCTCCCTTCCTTCCCGTTAAAACAGCACGTTGTTTAATTTGGTACCAATAAACGTGCATACCAGCAAAGGAAATGCTTTTAATCGATCCTGTGTGCCTGTGCCTTTGTGTGTTTTGGAGTATGAAGGAACAGCATGTCAGCTTAACCAATTAAAAGTGTAGCAGAAGCAGGCTGTGTGAGGATGCATTCAGGTCCCCTGGGAAATTTGGCTGTTTTCACAAATGTTCGTAAAATTCAAACAGTCTTAAATGTTTTCAGCGGGGTGGCAACAAGGATTTCTTCTGGGGAGGCAATTGCTACCCCAACTAACCCTCTGGCTCTGCCACTGATGCAGTCTAATGGATCTCTCCATACGGCTCAACCACATCGTCTCACCAGTCAGTAGTCTATGGAATGACCAACTGCCTCTATCTCCACCACTAGTTTCAGGCCGGGGGGGAGACATCCCTGTTCTTTACTCCTGTTCATGCATATCAAAACTAAATTCAGCGCTAAGGTTCCCTGCCGAGGTCCGAGTGCCAAAGAATAAAGTAATTGTATCAATAAAGTTCTTGACTTTTCTTCCTGTGTGAGTTTTTCCAAATTGAAGTATTTTTGTTGTTTCATTTGTCACCACTTTGGTCCTTTGATAAATGTGCTTTATGAATAAAGTTGGATTGAATTGAATAATACAATTTGAAATTTATAATCTGAAAAAAAACAAAAACATTCAAGGACTTTCAAGTCTTCTGAAGTAAACAGGTTCAGGTGTGATATAGGTCCCCAATCATTTCTGTTTAAGTTTGATTCAATTCAAAACTTGCACTTTTTTCAAGTCAAGCCTAAAGTCATAAAATAAATGACCTCAGTCCGACTCGATTCTAAGTCAAGTGACTCGAGTCCTCTAAACTAATAATAACCATCAATAAAAAGCGCCATTACATGTTTAGATTGGTTGTTGAACTGCATCTGGTAAAATGCAGAAAAACACAATCTAGTTGTAAATAATTTAAGTTTTACTGTAAAACAATGTGTTTTTTCAAACATGCACAGAACACAGCCTGCCGTTTTGTTTTTCCTCTGTCAGGTTAGCACAAACACAAGTCACTTTAAACATCACAGAGTCAGTTCTACACATGCACCTTACCTTAATAAATACCAGAAACTATCCACTTAAGCCGTAAATCCAGACGTCCTTTGATCAGTTTTATAATCTCCTCAAATTTTAGATGTAAAACCCAAGAATCGGATGGATCCAGAAGTCTGCTACAGCCAGAAAAACTCCTCTCCAAACTCTTCTCTCAGATTCTCTTATCTGAAGTCCTTTGTCTTGTTCAGCTCACACTGGGATTGTGTGTTCAGCCAGTGCAGAGCCCTACGGTATGTGTAAGCTTTGTTTGTCTAAGGGACCACTAGACTTCCTCCAATTCTTTCCGAACTTAGTTTTCCTGCCTGAGTTAAACTGGCTAAATATAGACCTCACACAAGGTAAAGGAGGACACACATGACAATATGCCCTTGTGCACGTTCAACTTTGTTTTTTGTTTTGCATCTTCCAGCAGCAGATTCCCCAAAACACACACAGCAGAACTTTGCTCAGTGAATGTGTTGCAAGTTTTTCATTTGTTTTGGATTTTTCTCCATGTGATAACCAGCAGGCAGGGTGGAGCCAGTGGGAATGAGTTCTGCTGCATTGTTGTGGAGGGTCAACCCATCCTATATTTCTCTCCAATGACGTTCTACTCATTGTTTTGTCTCTGGATTTCTAAAAACGGTCTGCCTAAACAAAAGCACTGACAGCACATCCTGCCGCTTGGCTGCACCAAAACAATTCTAACTCCAGTTTGGATTGTTTGCAGACACTTTGAGTAGGGAAAGCAGTGACTGTCCGGGAATCTGGTGTGTCATTTGGAACAATGTCTCATGGTGTTAAAGTGCGGTTCAAGTCCATATTTACTGGAACTGTGGTAAGACAGTTATAGAAAAGATGGTTTAACTGTGATCCCTAGTTCTCTCATATTCAGCTCTTAACATCCACCTCATTTTTTTGTTTTTTTTTTAATAGAGTTTTTGACAGACAGATTAACATAAAAATCAATTAAATCAAGAAGATTATAGATATACATCAATTTTGTGTCCCTTTTGGGTATATCAAGGAAAAAACACACAAACCAAAATAAAAAAGAAACGAACAAAAAAAAAGACAAAGTGCCTATGTTATACGATATATCAAACCTTGACTTCTGAACAAGTCAAATTGGTACAAGAGTATCACATATATCAATTCAATTCAGTTTATTTCTATAGCGCCACTTCACAACACACATCAAGGCACTTTACATTTCACCAGATCATACAATCAAATAAAAAGTTTTTTATCTAAGGAAAACCAGTAGTTTGCATCGACTCTTTGACTCGAAGTCAATCCCTCACACTGAGCATGCTTGTAGCGACAGTGGATAGGAAAAACTCCCTTTGAACAGGAAGAAACCTTCATCAGAACCAGGCTAAATGTGAGTGGCCATCTGCTGAGGTTGACCACACTGCAAAAAATTTATTCTAAATAAGTCCTTTTTTCTTAATATACACAATTATTTCTTCAGTGTTTTTTTTTTCTTGAATTGAGGGGGTAATTGAGACATTTTGCCAATTTACACATAAAATAAAAAACAGTTTCAAGTGCATAATATCTAATTATCTTATTTTAATAGTAAAAGATATTCATTCCATTGGGAAATCATCTTATTTACCTGCTTTAATTAAGTGTAAATACATTTAAGAATTTTTTTTATTTATTTCTAGATCCTTTTTGCAGTGTGGGGTTCAAGGAGACAGAAGCAGGCAGAAAAATAAGAATAGATACAAAAGTCAACTGTCAACCAGCTCGACAGGCGGCCCTGTCCACCTGACACACAGCCAGGCAGACGAGCGCCGAGCCAACTCCCATGTACAATAAATGAGTTTACCAGATTCTTATGTACACTTTAGTAATTTATTGATATGCCACATCATGTCCTTTTTGGTGATATAGAAAAGGTCACCCTAACCGCGGTCACTCAGAGAAACTAACAGTTTAAATACAGTTACAAGTGGTGTTGTACAACCTTAACTCTTGGGCACTTCCACAGCCCAAGGAGGGAGGTTCTCACAGCTTCACAGCTATGGAAGGCAGGCAGGAACGCATTTGGTCAGAGCTTCTCACAGAGCAGAAAGGTGCACCTGACAGGGTGACGTCTGGCCAGAAAGGCGAGCCGGGGGCTGCTTAGTTAATTGGCAGGCTGCAGACCCAGCACATTTTAGTTGACATATTCAATTTAGGTCTGGATTGTCATGGCATTACAAGGCAATTACGTGGGTTCCCTGTGAATTTAAATATAATTTGACCCCTAAGCAGCAGTATCCAAGGTATAAATTGAAGAAATAAAGTCAAAATTCCCAAATGTGTAATGCATAATTCATAGTAGATCAGGAAGTATTTGCTTTATGATTAAACCTTGTTTAAAACCATTCCTTTATTGTACATTTTCTCAGCTTGTCTGTCTGCTATATTAACCAATAAGTGTTGAACTAGATCTATTTTCACATTTGTGAGACTTTTTTCATAAAGTAGGGAAAGTTTATTTGAATTCTATAGATCAAAGTTTTCTGTCCAACAGCAATGATGAACTGAACGGTAACATTCTATACCCAGCTATTGTAGTATCTATGCTAGAGCTGTCAGTCTGGTAAAGCATCTGGTTATTTTTCAAAATTGTAAAAGTTAACTGTTTTATGAATTTCAACATAAAACTGACTAAAAACCTTTTTGAGTTTTAGTCGACTAAAACTAATGACAGTTTTCATCCCGAGGACTAAAACTAAATCTAAGATGGCAGTCAAAAACAACACTGGGTTGTGTTTACATTCCAGGTGAGTGTGTCCGTGATGTACACCCCCAGGAATTTGGTTCTGTTGACCACTTCTACAGCTGAGCTGTTGATGAGCAGTGGAGCGTGGTTAGGCCGGTTCTTCCTGAAGTCCAAGATGATCTCCTTGTTCTCCACGTTCAGGATCAGGCCGTTATCTCTGCATCAGTCCACCAGCTGCTCCACCTCCTCTCTGTAGTCCAGGTCGTTGTCGTCTCCGATGAGGCCCACCACCGTCTGCAAACTTCATGATATGATTGGTGGTGAACCTGGGGATGCAGTCATATCAGAGTGAACAGCAGGGGGCTCAGGATTCAGCCCTGAGGGGAGCCTGTGCTCAGGGTGATGACATCAGAGGTTTTCTGTCTGACCTGGACTGACTGAGCTCTGTTTGTGAGGAAGCCTAGCAGCCAATAGCAGAGGAGTGTATTGAAGCCCAGCTTTTCCAGTTTGCCCATGAGATGCTGTGGGATGATGGTGTTGAAAGCTGAACAGAAGTCCAGGAACAGCATCCGCACGTGGGTGTTCTTCTCCAGGTGTGCTAGGCTCAGGTGAGAGCAGAGGAGATGGTGCCCTCAGGGGAGCGGTTGCGTGGGTAGGCCAACTGGAAGGGGTCAAATGTTTGGGGGGAGACTGGAGACCATGTGTTCTTTAACCAAACTTTCGAAGCATTTTATAAACATTTAAAAGTGATTGTCTTGAATTCATTTTCAAGGCAAGGTAAGGCCCATGCATGAGTCATTAGAGAGGTAGCGAACACAACTTTCGATGCCTTTTATTAAAAATTTTATGTGAAAATAAAACAAAAAACTATATGAAACTTCTTCAAATATAACATATATCCATAGTCGGTAACAAAAGTAACATTCGATAAATTGAACTTTATACCGATTTTAACTTGGTTATCTTTTTCACTGCTTTTGAGTTTTGCGCTGAGGACAATCAATCATAGATCCCCAGATAAACAGTGTTGATTCAAATTACGTTTTTTCCATATAAATTTTCCACATCATACAATGTGGACAGTTAACAATTGATAATATTTTTTCCTTTTCAGAGATAGTATTATAACCATTACAGAAGCATCAAAAACAAAGCAGCATGCGTTTTTTTGACTGCTCAAATTGCGCTCGGTGTGAACTTAGCAGATGTGCTATGGTTCAAGTTTTGTTACTAAGGCAAAGCACACTTTTGATTGTTTTGATTTGTGCAAAGACAATGTTACCATGTTATACCAGGATCTAAGTGGTCAAGACTAGTTGGTGTGAGAAATTCCAACTAAATGTGTTTGCTTTGCATACAGGTATCCCATAAGTTGCTTTCACACTGAATGTCAAACCAGTGAAAATTTTCCTCCTTAAAGGAGGACGGCAGGATGTTAGAGAAGCCAGCCAGGAGGACCGTGATAGAAAAAGCGCCGAAGGTAGGGCTGGCCGAGACTAGCTCGGTCCGGATGAGAGATTAGCGAAGTGGGGGAGAGAAGTCATCGGCTGGTTGATTTCTGCACTGGAGGTATTACCAAGAAACAGTCCTTCTGGGGCTAAACCAAAATGGCTTTTTTAAAGGAAAAGTCCGTTCTTATTCAGAAT